TTGCTCATAGAATCTGGCTGGCCTGAAGAACTGAATAAACAACTTAAAAACAACTTCATGTTTTTTTAAATTTAGGAAAAATTTTATTTATTTTTACTTTATTTGAGAGAGAGAGGGAGGGAGAGAGAGATTGAGATTTTTCACTCTTTGCTTTACTCCCCAAATACTTGTGGTAGCTGGGCTAGGCTAGGATGAGACCAGAAGCTCAGAACTCAGTCGCCATCCCATGTGGGTGGCAGGGACCCAGCTGCTTGAACCTTCACCTGCTGCCTTCTAGGGTGTGCATTAGTAGGAAGCTGGAACTGGAAAATGGAGCCAGTGCTCCAACTTAGGCACTTTGATATGGAATGTAAGCATTCCAGGTGGCATCTTAACTGCTATACAGAACACCCACTCAGATTTTAGGAATATTTAAATGACAGGCAGATGGGTCTTGTCATCAGTGACTTTTGCATTGTTCTGCAGCTGCCTAATGTTTTCTGTTTTTGGTGGAAAATCTGATAAAATTATTTAATTTATTCTATAAACATCAGGGAAAGAGTTTGTGATATAAGGAAGTAGACATGCCCAGAAATTTTATTTGGAACACATTCCAAATCATAGATGTAAATAAGCTATTAATATATTTTAAAAGCATGTTGTGGATTATTTCTTGCATAGTATAGTGAATTTATTTTTCTCAGCTTGACCTTAGCATTCACAACATTTTGGATTTCTTGGACATGTTTTGTTCAGGAATGGCAAATTAACTTTTTATCTAAAACACGAAGAGTGCAATTAGGAAATCAAATTTATCTATAAAATAACATAATCATGGACACGTACTATGATACATGAATTATTTTTGTATTCAGAGCATTATTCCTTTATCTGTTGAAGAAAATTGATAAATTGCTGTGTACCCAAAAGATAACTGTTCATACCCCAAAGCAAATGGATCCTTAACAGTAATTTTCTTAAAATGTTCAAGTTGTTATTTAAGAAGAAGACATTTTTATTCTTTGCACTCCTTTGTCTAGCTTTTCATCAGAGGTCTGAGGAGCTGGGTTGAGAAAAGGCCTCTGACAAGATGGATAATCTGGAACTTAGACCACTTGACGTCCCTGTTTACACACAGTGAGAAAGTACAACAAGGATGAACTACTTCATAGACTCAGGACCAGGACAACACTCTATTATCCAATCCTGCTTCTATTCTTAAGATAAGATTACAGACTTTAGTCATTTAGATTTAAAATTTCACACTTCAGATAAGCTGAAAGATAGGTCACTCTAGTGGGTAGTTAGTTCACAGTGTTCAGAGATAGAAATCTAATATTAATCCTGGAAATGTGTAAATCTCTACTATATGCCTCTGTGTTTTGATACCCCAAAGAGGATATTTTGAGAAATCCCTCATAAATATTCATAATTATGTTTGGTGAGATGTTTTAAAATAATTCAATTCTAACTCCTTTTCAAGTTCCAGACAGAGAATACGTTTAGCTGTGAAGGGGAAAGATTTTACTACTGATGTCGTGAAACATTATAACTTGCTTTGAAAGATCATTAGGTAAATCAAGGGCTGAGTTATAGGAAACCTAATTTTGTTGCCTACCTTCTTAGTAGGTTTCATGCCAGTGTCTGGGAGCCTTGTGAATTTAGGTCTCATAACCTGTGACCTTATTCCTCTAAAGAGGTGGGTTTTCCCTGTGTCTTACGTAGAGTGGCCATTTATTTCTTCCTTCTTCTGGATCACCTTGCGGGTGTCACTAGAAGGTCCAGACATGGGTATTCAGTTGGGTCATAAAGGTAATCGTAATAAAACCATTTGGCAGACAAGGATGTCTGCAAGGTCATGACTTTCATGGCATTTTAAATGTTAGGGCTGGAAATGTTCTTAAACATCTCTACTCAAATTCTTTATTTGACTCACTGGAAACAAGCCCTAACCAGTTTAAGCAACTAGTTGCAGTTCCAATACTATATAAACCAGTATTGCACCGTAGTTAAGTGATTTGGTCTGGGTTTTAACAACAGTGTAGCCTTGACCAGTTTATGTAATTTTGCACTAGTTTCCACATCTGAAAATGAGATAATCGTAATACATAGTTTACAGGATATTACAAGGATTAAATAAGTGAATACAGGTTAAACAGCACAGTGTCTGGTATGTAGTGAGTACTTAATGAATGCAGTTGAATTTGGAATTTGTGTTTCCTACCTCTAACTTGGTGGTTTTATCATTGTACCATGTTGTGTCTTCTGACATCCCTTAAAATGTCACAAAATATTGTAATAGTTATGATTTCACATTAAAATTGATTAAATGTTTGAGAAGAGAACACACATTTAACAAACATATCATGACCTTTTTTTTTTCCTGTGTGGGAAATAGACATACAATAAAGGAAAATTTTAGAAGTGAAAAATAAAACAATTTATGTCAGAATATATTCAGGTAATTTATTTCCCTTTAATAAAGGCACAATTCCTAATTTGCATAAACAATTGACCATTTTTGTAGCTCATTAGATAAATTGAGCCAGATCAACCAACATAAACTTATTACAAATGCACATCTGGACTATGAAACAGTTATTGGAAACTCACTGGAACTCAGATTTACAGTAAAGAGAACCCTTGATTTTTCAATAAAAGAGGAAATGTATATTCTAGATTTAGATGATATGGATTTATCAATGATTTGTGCTTCAATTATAATCACTTACTGCCTTTTGAAGAGAGATCCAAATCTTTCTGGCTCCCTGTAAAGACTTATTGGTAAAACAACAATGGTTAATATTTGATATATAATACTGTCCACCTGTTAAACTGTTCATGTGGCTTGAACCTTGGTGTAGTGAGTTACACTTTTTTTCTGTTAATATAATGGCAGACACTTTAGGCTATCTGTCGCAACTAACTTTCTCACCAGCCTTGTTTCTTGCTAGCAGAAATCTAATTTTTCTCAAAGTTGGGGCTTCTCTCAGCTTTGGAAGGAGGTGAATTTTGAATAGTCTAAACCAGACATTTGAATTACTACCCTTCCAATGATTGGCTTTGGCATGGGTTTGTGATAGAATTTTAACCAGTGAGTACAGAGAGAGAGTGTTTGAGAGGGGTGGAGGTTGGGTTGTGATGTTGGGGTACTTTCATATAAAATTTATACTTAGAAACACTTCTACCTCTGATAGTTGTTGTCTTTCTATGATGCCTGGAATTGCAGAAACCATCTTAGGACCTTAAGGAGACCCTGCCTTGGAGGGTAAGCTATCGTATGTAGGCTAGTAACATGGAAAGGTGGAAAGAATTTGGGTTATTGTTGATGCTAGTGAATTACCAAATGGATTCACCTTGGAGCTACTTTGCTCTGAACTTCCTGCTTTGTGGAATAATAAAAGTCAATATTTAAGCCAGTTTTTGTTGCCCTTCTCCCGTTTTTAACAAATAAATCACTAGTTGATATTATATGAAATTGTTTATAATTCTGGTTCATTCCTTGTGTTCTTTTATCATAGTTGACAGAATGAGCTGAATGAATTCTGAAGTAAAGTCTCAGTAGAACGAGGCATAGCCTTCTTCTCTCATTTTTTCTCTTGCCAGTTACCACTATCTCAATATTTGTAAACCTAGTATTAATATCTTAATATTAATATCTTAGTTAATATTAATATCTTAATATTTGTAAGCTTATGTTAACCAGTGGCATTTCTTTTTACTTAAATTAGTGTTTTGAGGTCTATCTTGTAAATATTAAAATTACCAAGTAGTTTTCCCTTGGATCCTTATTTTATTGTAGTATCTTTTCCCCTTTTCAAGTTCTCAGGGGATACAGTGTGCTTAAGGAAGTCAGCTTGGAGGGGAGATTATCAGAGTCAGCTCAAAAGCAAGCCACCTCTTTTGGGCTGATGTACTATTTTCCTAACAAAAATGCTTAATGTAGAAATCCTAAAGTTAACTTTCCATTTTTAAAAAAAGTCATGAGCTCAGAATCATACAACAGCAGCTGTAAAAGAAGAAGACTGAACATATGCGAGTTGAGATTCCTGTTGTGTTAAATGAAAGAAAAATTAATTTGACATATTCTTAACATATATTTAATTTTTTGCTGGTATTTCAGCATAGATTTATGTAAATTTATTCATGTAAATCACCAGGGCTACAGATAACAGGAGCCTTTAAAAATAAATGCATTTGAATAATGATCAAGTCTATAAGGAAGTCCTACCACCTTTGGAAAATCTTCCTGAATGTCATTCCTGAAGAAGTCACCGTATTTCAGCTACCGTCCTGTAACATGTCATTACTTATATAGTTACTGAGACTAGTGTTTCCTTTTACTGTGTAAGTAACTCTTCTTTGAATGTAGTTGCAAGAGGTTTATCCTCAAACTCACTAGGAATCAAACTATGAATAAAGGGGAACAGGATCTCATTTAAGGATGACACTGGGCAGTCAGGTATTTCTATCAGTCATCCAGGAAAAGCAAACTTGAAGTGGACAGAACAAATGGAGGCTGTTAGGAGAGATCCTTCCGAAAGTTCCTGAGGGAGGCAGACCTCAACCCTTGGCATCACCATATAGTGGTTTCTTCTTCTCTTGGTAATAAACAGACTAATACTGTGGTCATTATTCTTCATCAGAGAATAAAACTCTTAGGCCCTTTTGCAGTAGACTGTATGTTTACATGCTGTATGTCTACATTGAGGAAGACAACTACCTGCTAGCGCATTTAGTAGGTATGTCTCTAAAGAGAAACTGGGAGAAACTCATTTCCTACTGTCTGATATAAGGCAAAAACAAAAGTGTGACTGTATGGTACCATGGGTTTTTGATTTCTTTCTTGGTCAAAACTTTGGGCTTACTTGTTGGGACACTTTCTTCCAATTCAGTCTCTGCAGAAACTTGTGTACATGAGGGAAGCTACTCTGTACACATCACTCCTTAATTGAGCAATGCCGGGTTTATATGATTAAAGGGGCCCACTGAGCTTTTTTTTTTTTTTTTTTATTTGACAGAGTTAGTGAGAGAAAGAGAGAGAAAGGTCTTCCTTCTGTTGGTTCAACCCCCACATGGCTGCTACGGCCGGAAGCTACACCGATCTGAAGCCAGGAGCCAGGTGCTTCCTCCTGCTCTCCCATGTGGGTGCAGGGGCCCAAGCACTCGGGCCATCCTCCACTACCCTTCCACAGCAGAGAGCTGGACTGGAAGAGGAGCAACCGGGACTAGAACTCCGCGCCTATATAGGATGCTGGCGCTGCAGGCGGAGGATTAACCAAGTGAGCCCTGGCGCCGGCCCCCCACTGAGCTATTGTTTGGCATTGCATTTGATAGGAAAATGTGCAAGATATTTTCATGAGTATTTATTTATTTATTTATTTTACAGGCAGAGTGGACAGTGAAAGAGAGAGAGACAGAGAGAAAGGTCTTTCCTTTTGCTGTTGGTTCACCCTCCAATGGCCGCCGCGGCCGGCATGCTGCGGCCGACGCATTGCGCTGATCCGAAGCCAGGAGCCAGGTGCTTCTCCTGGTCTCCCATGTGGGTGCAGGGCCCAAGCACTTGGGCCATCCTCCACTGCACTGCTGGGCCACAGCAGAGAGCTGGCCTGGAAGAGGGGCAACCGGGACAGAATCCGGTGCCCCGACCGGGACTAGAACCTGGTGTGCCGGCACCGCTAGGTGGAGGATTAGCCTATTGAGCCACGGCGGTGCCGGCCATGAGTATTTATCTTATGGCATACTGAAGCTTCTTTTGTGTCATCACGTAAAGTACAGTTTATGCTGGAGATGAGATGTATATCTAATTCTGAAGGATCTTAGAACAGACCCTAAAGCTTCTCTTTAATGAGATCCATGAGCTTCAGATCAGTGTTGAATCATGAGCTCCTTTGGGGAATATGAAGAGAATAATCGTGGGGGCCAAGAGGTTTGTATAGCTGTCATGTTGGACTCTGCATTTTGTAAAAAGTAAAATAATCAATTAAAATGTTTAGCTTGTTTCATGTAGATTAAAGAGTGTCAGGAAAGGGGTGTGTGTGTGTGTGCATGTGTGAAATCACTGGCCAGCCCCTCTAACCTCTAGGAGAATCTTCTTCCAGTTCTGAAAGAGTTCAGGTTTTATATTTCACTTCAACAAGGGAGGTGAAATTCCATTCTCGTAACATAGAGCCTCATCTAGTTATATAATAGGTTACATTAGTTTTCACATCTTAGAGAATGCTTACATATCTTCAAGTGTTTTTGTTCTGTTTCCTTCACATATTGTAACCTCTTTTGTGTGAAAAGATTTATAATCTAAATCTTTTGTATTCTTGAATGTGACACACACTGTGAACTGCAGGGATTCAGTAAATCCTGATAACTAACCAGTTTCAACTAGTAGATAAGATAGGCCTTTAAAACTTACAAAATAAGAATGTCAGCAATTAGCAGCAGGAGCAATCTAAAGCTCTTAAGGAATCTATTTAGGAAAGGATGTGTAAACATTTCAGTTGTCTTGGTAGCATTCTCCCATGAGTTCTACTTTTTAATGGCAACAATAGACGTAATTGAAGCACTTGGGCTACTGTCATCATCAAGTCTAGTAAGCGCATGATTGTATAGTACACACTTTCTTTTATACCTCCCTAATGAATCATATGCAGATATCTATTTTGTTTTGCAATATCTTTTCATTATTAATTCAAATGCCTCTTTTTCTGCGCAGTCTAGTGTGGTATAAAGCAGAGGAGGGAGGCCAGGTCTTTGGGGTGTCAAGATTTTTCTTTCTCCTTGGCTCATTTGGTCCATTCTTTGGCTTCCATCTCTTGAATGCATACCTGCTTCTCAATGAGCATTTAATAGTAACCATGAGATCCATAGTCTCTGAGATATGCAGGGACTCCAGGCTGCAGATGAAGGAAGAAGCAAACAAACCAAAATAGATCTGCGTTGGTTAATGAAGATCACAGATGGAAAAACTTTTTTTTTTCTCCTGTGGACATGCTGGGATTTTAGAATTGATGCTATTAATCAATCTGTCCTAAAGTAGAAACAGTTGCAAATATGTAATATAGAGTATCAGTGGAATAGAAAACAAACCTTTAACTATGCCTAATTTTTTTTGAAGTTGGAAAATGTTGCCAGCCTGTTTTTGATGTAATTGAAAATGTTTAGAAGCTTTCCTGAAGAGTTGATTAATATATCAAAATCAAAAAAGGCAATTTTGAGTCTAATTTTGTTTGTTTACTATGTAATACAAGATTCTTGGCTTTGAAATTCTGCCATGCAGGGTGAAAAATGACTGTCAGTGTGAAACAAAGTAGTCTACTGAAAAGAACATTGTGTCTAATAGGAAACAGCTGATAGCCCCGTAAATGATATCTGGAATTACATTATCTTAATCATTCTGATTAGTTCCTAGTGGGCAGAGTAGTGAGTCGAGATTTGGCTAAGATTTGCCTCTCTTACTCCTTGGTTCAAGAACCTCAAAGTGGGGAATTGCTGGGGAGGCATTCTGGTCCAAGCTGGAGGAGCAAGGAGAGTTTGGGTCTCAAAGAGCTAAGACCAGAGTAGCCCCATGTGTGCACAGCAGTGGAGGGGTTGTCTTCCGGGGGGGTTGACATACCTGCTATGGGAGGATGTGGCACTCTTGGTAATGTTACCAGAAGATTTTCCAATGGCTTTCTGATTTTATAAATATCAAAGAGCTGAAATAGGTAATTATGTTTTGGCTCCCAGTTTTTGGAGGAAGAGTTCAAGAAAACTTGCTTTGCAAGAAAAAAATGCAGTGAACTCTTAGCAGAAGTTTCCACCTCTTTCGTTGAAACACGAGTACTGAAAAAGAGATAGCTGCTTGCCCTAGAGCAATTTTACATCTTCATTTTTCCAGGAAAGTGCCAGTTTTATATATTTCACCTGTTATTGCAATGGGTGACATTTCTCTGAAGCTACAATATTTTGGTGGTTATACCTGTGTTTCAAAACCAGGTGCATGACAAAAGTCTTACAGGATTACAGGTGTTAGTTTGGGGTTCAGAAAATAAGGCCACCATATGTGGAAAGAAGTTTGACTGAAAGAAATACGTCAAATCAGCTAATTTCCCTAGATGGCTTCTAAAGCATCCAGGACATGTTGTCAGGCAGCCTCTGCTTGTGTCTCTCCTGACGCATGGGGAGTTCTTATTCAGAAGGCATCTAATTGTTGGTAAGCTCTGCGTCTTTAGCTAAGCCTGTATCCCATGGCCTCACTTGTCAGGAACAATGGAGAATAATGAAGATGGATGTTTTATCCCCTCTGAATCTTTTTCTCTTACAGGTCAAAGTTCACCAAACCTTTTTTTTTTTAAAGATTTTATTTATTTATTTATTTATATGAGAGGTAGAGTTACAGACAGTGAGAGACAGAGAGAAAGGTCTTGCATCCACTGGTTCCCTCCCCAAATTTACTGCAATGGCCGGAGCTGAGCCTATCCAAAGCCAGGAGCCAGGAACTTCTTCCAGGTCTCCCACATGGATGCAGGGGCCCAAGGACTTGAGCCATCTTCTACTGCTTTTCCAGGCCATAGCAGAGAGCTGGATCAGAAGAGGAGTAGCCGGGACTAGAACCTGTGCCCATAGGGGATGCTGGTGCTGCAGACAGAGGATTAACCTACTGTGCCACAACGCTGGCCCCCACCAAACCTTTTAATCATTTCATTCATAGTAAGATTGTCACTATTCTAGGAGCCTTTACATTGTATGTAAACTTTGATTTTCTATAATGAAATTCTGTAATCTCACTTCTGTACAATAAAACTGGAAACTTCTCTTTAAAAAAATCTTGATAATGTACTTAAAATATTTCATTTCATTTCATAACCACATTTTACTTATTGTTGGTTCAAATTAGCTTTTGGTACATTGATGCCACCTGGTCTGTTTCAAATAAATAAATATCTGACCTCTACTCCAACATACATATACCTGTGCATTTGAATCTTAAAATTGGTATAAGGGACTTTACTTAATATATATGTTTTTTGAATTCTAGCCTGCCATTCACATCTGTCAAACTCTTGTAAGACCTTGATTGTTCATATAATGTGCTGGTTTTCCTATCAACTGTATATTAAATAGGTTTCCCATGTTTTTATATGTGCTATAATAGTACTATAAAAACAGATGCACCTTGCAGTGAGACAGATCTTATATTTCATTCCCAGCTTCCTCATGAACCTGTTGTCTGACATTTATACTCCCTGATCCCAGTTTGCTCATCTCAAAGTTAAGATGATGAAAAGCTCTACTTTTTTTTTTAAGATTACATTTATTTATTTGAAAGGCAGAATTAGAGAGAGAGAGAGAGAGAGAGAGTGCTTCCATCTATTGGTTTACCCACCAAATGGCTGCAACATCTAGGGCTTGGCCAGGCTGAAGGCAGAAGCCAGGAGTTTCTTCTGGGTGTCTCACATGGGTGCAGGAGCCTAAGCACTTGGGCCATCTCCTCCTTCCCTCCCAGGCACATCAGCAGGGAGCTGGGTTAGAAGTGAAGTAGCTGGAATTCGAACAGGTGCCCATATGGGAAGCTGGCACTATAGAAAGTGGCTCAACCTGCTGTGCCACAGTGATGGCCCAAAAGTTCTACTTCTTAGGATTGTTGAGGGTCTAGTACAATGTCAGTCACATTGTAGGTAACAGTTATTGTATTAATAATGAAGATACATTTTCCCCCAAAAAATATTTAATGAGTATAAATTTCATAAATACAACTTTAAGAATATAGTGATTCTTCCCATCATACATGCCCTCCCACCCCACCACCTCCTCCCTCTCCCATTACCAGTCCCATTCTCTATTAAGATTCATTTTAAATTAACTTTATACTCAGAAGACCAACTCTATGCTAAGTAACTTTTTCAACAGTTTGCATTCACACACACACACACACACACACAAACACACAAACTGGGAACAAGTTTTACAGTTAATTCTCATAATAGAATTCATTAAGGACAGAAGTTCTGCATAGGAAGTAAGTGCACAGTGACTCCTGTTGTTAATTAATAGTCTTACGTAAGATGATCACCCAAGGCTCTTGACATGAGCAGCCAAGGCTATGGAAGCCTTTTGAATCCATAATCTCCATCAGTATTTAGACAAGGCCATAAGCAAAGTAGAAGTTCTCTCCTCCATTCAGCAAAAAGTACATCCTTCTTTGATGGCCCCTTCTTTCCACTGGAGTCTTTTTCAGAGAGATCCTTCATGCAGGACATCTTTTAGCTACAATGTCTTGGCTTTCCATGCCTAAAATGCTCTCATGGGCTTTTCAGCCAGACAAGAATGCCTTAAGGGCTGATTCTGAGGTCAGAGTGCTGTTTAAAGTGATTGTCATTCTGTGAGTCTGCTGTGTGGATTGCTTCCTATGTTGGAACATTCTCTCCTTTTTAATTCTATTTATTATTAACTCTATGCCAAGTACAGATTTCAACAGTTTGCACCCCCATACACACACAACATATAAAGTGCAGTTTGAGAACAAGTTTTGCAGTTAATTCTCATAGTTCAATTCATTAAGGACAGTGGTCCTACATGGGGAGTAAGTGCATCGTGACTTCTTTTGTTCATTTAACAATTTACACTCTTATTTATGACATCAGTGATCACCTGAGGTTCTTGCCATGAGCTGCCAAGACTATGGAATCCTTTTGTGACCACAGACACCATCAGATTTTGGTACACAATCATAAGCAAAGTGGAAGTTCTCTCCTCCCTTCATAGAAAAGTACATCCTTCTTTGATGGCCCCTTCTTTCCACTGGGATCTCACAGAGATCCTTCGTCTAGGATGTTTTTTGTCCCAGAATCTTGGTTTTCCATGCCTGAAATGCTCTCACAGGCCTTTCAGCCAGACCAGGAATCCTTAAAGGTTGATTCTGAGGGGCCAGAGCTGTGGCGTAGCAAGTAAGGCTGCTCCCTGCAGTGCTGACATCCTATATGGGTGCTGGTTTGTGTCCTGGCTGATCTACTTTTGATCCAGCCCCACTGCTGTGGCCTGGGAAAGCAGTAGAGGATGACTTAAGTCCTTGGGTCCCTGTACCCGTGTGGGAGATCTGGAGGAAGCTCCTGACTCCTGGCTTCGGATCAGCCCAGCTCCGGCTGTTGCGACCAATTGGGGAGTGAACCAGTGGATGGAAGACCTCTCTCTCTCTCTCCCTCTCCCTCTCCCTCCCTCTGCCTTTCCTTTTCTCTCTGTGAAACTCTGACTTTAAAATAAATAAAATAAATCTTTTTTAAAAAAGGGTTGATTTTGAGGTCAGAGTGTTATTTATGGTGAATGCCATTTTAGGAGTCTGCTATGTGCACTGCTTCCCATGTTGGACATTCCTTATGATCACTTTAACACTTAAAATGGTCACTTTTATGGCATGGCATTTTTTGCCATCCAGCTTAATGGGACTTGGGGTTCTGTGGCAAATTTTTTTTAAACATCTTTTTAAACATTTTTTTAAAAAATTTATTTGACAGAGTTATAGACAGTGAGAGAGAGAGGCAGAGAGAAAGGTCTTCCTTCTGTTGGTTCACTCCCCAAATGGCCACTATGGCTGGCACTGTGCTGATCTGAAGCCAGGAGCCAGGTGCTTCCTCCTGGTCTCCTATTTGGGTGCAGGGGCCCAAGCACTTGGGCCATCCTCCACTGCCCTCCTGGGCCACAGCAAGAGCTGGACTGGAAGAGGAGCAACTGGGACTAGAACCCGGTGCCCATATGGGATGCAGTGCTGCAGGTGGAGGATTAACCAAGTGAGCCACGGCGCTGGCCCCCTTGGCAAATTTTTAAACTGTACCTTTAGAAGAAAGTCCATAGTAATATATGCAGAAGTATACAGCTTTGAAGATACAAACTTCTTCCCACCTCTCTTATTTACACTTTTATTTTTTAGTGAGATCTATTTTCAATTGACTTTATACTTGTATTAATAAATCTGTTAAGAGTTCAATAGATAGTATTAAGAAGAGAAAAACCATTCCTTGATAGACAAGACAATGGCTGTGCATGTCATTGCTTCTCAGAGTGTCAATTTCACTTCTACAGATTTCCTTTTAGGTGCTCTATTAGTTATTGCAGGGAGAACATACAGTGTTTGTCCCTTTGGGACTGGCTTATTTCACGAAGTATGATGTTTCCCAGATTCATCCATTTTGTTGCATGACTAGATTTCATTTTTTTTACTGCTGTGTAGTATTCCATACAGCATATATCTCATGATTTCTTTATCCATTCTTCAGTTGATGGGCATTTAGGTTGAACCATGTCTTAGCTATTGAGAATTTAACTGCAGTAAACTGGGTAAACTGGGTAAATTCCCAGGAGTAGAACTGCTGGGTCATATGGTAGGTCTATATTCAGATTTCTGAGCTATCTTCAAACTGTCTTCCATAGTGGTTTTAACAGTTTACATTCCCACCAGCAGTGAATTAGTGTACCCTTTTCTCTACATCCTCTCCAGCATTTGTTTTTTGTTGATTTCTGTGTGAAAGCCATTCTAACTGGAGTGAGGTGAAACCTCATTGTGGTTTTGATTTGCATTTCGCTGAAGGCTAATGGTCCTGAACATTTTTTCATGTGTCTGTTGGCCATTTGGATTTCCTCTTTTGAAAAATGTCTGTTTAAGTCCTTCACCCATGTTGTAACTGGGTTGTTTGTTGTGAGTTTCTTGATCTCTCTCTTTTTTGAAGATTTTATTTATTTATTTGAGAGGTAGAGAAACAGACAGTGAGGGGAAGAGACAGAGAGAAAGGTCTTCCATCTGCTGATTTACTCCCCAATTGGCCACAATGGTTGGAGCTGCGCTGATGTGAAGCCAGGAGCCAGGAGCTTTTTCTGGGTCTCCCATGCAGGTGCAGGGGCCCAAGGACTTGGGCCATCTTCTGCTGCCATCTCAGGCTGTAGTAGAGAGCTAGATTGAAAGAGGAGCAGCTGTAGCAGAGAGCTGGATTGGAAGAGAAGCAGCCAGGACTAGAACTGGCGCCCATATGGGATGTGAGCACCGCAGGTGGAGGATTAACCTGCACCATGGCGCCAGCCCCTTGATCTCTTTCTATATTCTGGTTATTAGTCCTTTATCAGTTGAATAGTTTGCAAATAATTTCTCCTGTTCTTTTGGTTGCCTCTTTACCTTCCTGAGTGTTAGTTTTTCAGTACAGAAGCTTCTCAATTTGAGGTAGTCCCATTTGTTAATTTTGGCTTTGATTGCCTATGCCTCTGTGGTCTTTTCCAAGAACTCTTTGCATGTGCCAATGTATTGCAGGGTTTCCAACATATTCTCTAATAATTTGATGGTATAATGTTCTAGGTTTAGGTCTTTAATCCATTTTGAATGGGTTTTTCTGCAAGGCATAAGGTAGGGGTCCTGCTTCATACTCCTGCATGTGGAAATCCAGTTTTCCCAGCATCATTTATTGAAGAGACTGTCCTTACTCCAGTGATTGGTTTTAGATCCCTGGTCAAATATAAGTTGGTTGTAGATGCTTGGATTGATTTCTTCCATTTCTACTGTGTTCCATTGGTCTATCCAACTGTTTTTGTACCAGTACTAGGTTGTTTTGATTATAATTTCCTTGTAGTATGTCTTGAAATCTGGTATAATGAGGCCTCTGGCTTAGTTTTTGTTGTATAAGATTGCTTTAGCTATTTGAGGTCTCCTGTGCCTCCATATGAATTTCAGCATTATTTTTTCTATATCTGAGAAGAATGTCTTTGGTATTTTGATTGGTATTGCATCAAATCTGTAAATTGCTTTCGGATGAATGGACATTTTGATGATATTGATTCTTCCAATCTATGAACATGGAAGATTTTTCCATTTTTTGTATCTTCTTCTATTTCTTTCTTTAATGTTTTATAATTCTCATCGTAGAGATCTTTGATATCTTTGGTTAAATTTATTCCAAATATTTTATTTAATTTATAGCTATTGTGAATGGGATTGATCTTAGAAGTTCTTCCTCAGCTATGGCATTGTCTGTGTATACAAAGGCTGTTGACTTTTGTGTATTGATTTCATATCCTGCTACTTTACCAAACTCTTCTATGAGTTCCAATGGTCTATTGATGGAGTCTTTTGGATCCCCTATATATAGAATCATGTCATCTGCAAATAGGGATAGTCTGACTTCCTCCTTCCCAATTTGTATCCCTTTGATTTCTTTTTCTTGCCTATTGACTCTGGCTAGAATTTCCAGGACTGTATTGAATAGCAATGGTGAGAATGGGCATCCTAGTTTGGTTGTGAATGTCAGTGGTAATGCTTCCTGCTTTTCCCCATTAAACAGAACACTGGCTTTGGGTTTGTTATAAATTGTCGTGATTGTGTTGGGGAATGTTCCTTCTATACCCAGTTTGCTTAGAGTTTTCATCATCAAAGGGTATTGTATTTTACCAAAGCTTTCTCTGCATCTATTGAGATAATCACATGTTTTTTTTTTCTTCAGTTTGTTAATGTGATGTATCATATTGATTGATTTGCAAATGTTGAACTATTCCTGTATACCAGGGATAAACCCACTTGGTCCAAATGAATGATCTTTTTGATGTATTGTTGGAGTCAATTGCCTAGAATTTTTTTTTTTTTGCATCTATGTTCATCAGGTAAATTGGTCTGTAGTTCTCTTTCTCTGTTGTGTCTTTTCCGGGTTTAGGAATTAAGGTGATGCTGGCTTATAGAATATGTGAGGATTCCCTCCCTTTCAATTGGTTTTGAATAACTTGAGAAGTATTGGAGTTAGTTCTTTAAATGTCTGGTAGAATTCAACAATGAAGACACCTGGTCCTGGGTCTTTCTTTGTTGGGAGGGTCTTAATTACTGGTTCAATTTCCATCTTGGTAATGGGTCTGTTTAGGTTTTCTGTCTCTTCATGGCTCAATTAATGTAGGTTGTATATGTCCAGGAATCTATCCATTTCTTCTAGTTTTCCCAGTTAGATGGCCTACAGCTCTTTGTAGTAATTTCTGCTGATTCTTTTTATTTCTGTGATGTCTGTTGTTACATTTCCTTCTTCATCTCTAATTTTAATGATTTGGCTCTTCTCTGTCCTTTTTTGGTTAGTTAGGCCAGTGGTGTGTTAATTTTGTTTATTTTTTAAAAAAACTAGCTCTTTGTTTTGCTGATCTTTAGTATTATTTTTTATTTCAGTTTTGTTGATTTTTTTCTCTAATTTTGATTATTTTTTTCTCCTACTGCTTTTGGGCTTGGTTTGTTTGTTTTTTTTTTTTTTTCTAGATCCTTGAGATGCATTGATAGCTTATTTATTTGGTGCCTTTCCAATTTCTTGACATAGGTACCAACTGCTATAAACTTTCATCTTAACACTGTTTTTACTGTATCCCATAAATTTTGATATGCTGTATTGTCATCTTCATTTGTTTCCAGAAATTTTTTGATTTCTCTTTGGACTTTTTCTATGACCCACTCTTCATTCAGGAGCATGTTGTTCAGTCTCCATGTGTTTGCATATGTTCTAGAGATTCCTGAGTTGCTAGTTTCCAGCTTCATTCCTCTGTGGTCAGAGAAGATGCATGGTATGATTTTGATTTTTTTTTGAATTTGCTGAGACTTGCTTTATGGCCTCTCATGTGGTCAGTCCTAGATAAAGTTCTGTGCACTGGTGAGAAGAATGTGTATTTTGCAACTGTATGATGAAAAGTTCTGTAGATATCTGTTAGGTTCATTTGGTCTGTAGTGTCAATTAACTCTGCTGTTTCCTTGCTGATTTTCTGTCTGGTTGATCTGTCCATTGCTGAAAGTGGAGTATTGATATCCTCCATTACTATTGTATTGGAGTCTATGTCTCCCTTTAGATCCCTTAACATTCCTTTTAAATAGCCAGATGCCCTGTGATTAAGTGCATATACATTTATAATAGTTAATCTTCCTGTTGAATTGGTCCCTTAATCATTACACAGTACCCTTTTTTGTCTCTTTTAACAGTTTTGTTATTAAAGTCTATTTTGTCCGATATTAGGAAGGCTATATCAGTTCTTTTTTGGTTTCTGTTACCTTGGAATGTCTTTTTCCATCCTTTCATTTTCAGTCTGTGTGCATCTTTGTTGGTGAGATGTGTTTCTTACAGGCAACAAATAGATGGGTATTGCTTTTGAATCCATTCAGCCAGTCTGTGTTTATTAACAAAAGAGTTGAGGCCATTAACATTCAAGGTGACTATTGATAAGTAACAACTTTGACTTGCCAGTTTTCCAAAAATATTCAGATTTTTTACTTTGGATTCCTTTGTACTTTTACTGGGAGATTTAATGAAGGTACATTTTTTTTTAAAAAAAATTTATTTGAAAGAGATGCAGAAAAAAACAGACAAAGGCAGGTGGGAGTAGATCTTCCATCTACTGGTTCATTCCCCAGATGGCCACAATGGCCAGGGTTGGCCAAGCTGAAGCCAGGAGCCAGAGGCTTCACTCAAGTCTCCCACATGGGTAGCAAGGGCCCAAACACTTGGGCCATTTTCTGCTGCTTTTCCCAGGTCATTAGCAGGGACCTGAATTAGAAGTGCAGCAGCTGGGATACAAAATGGTGCCCAGATGGGATGTGGCATTGCAGGTGGAGGCTTTAACCTGTTACGACACAATACCGGGTTCTTGAAGATAAATGTTTTACTGAAATCAGGTTTCTTATTTTCTTTCTCCTTACCTGGGTTATAGTTAATTATTTTGGATAATGCCAGGGACAAACTATATAGCCTCTAGATACTCCAAGTTGCATCCATGAATTAAACAAATATTATTTAGCAAATACTATTTATTGAGCTTAAATAAGTATCAGTACTCTTCTAGTGATTAGGGGCAGAGTGGCCAAAAGGACAGCAGTCTCTTCCCTCAGGAGCTGATAATTCAAAAAGGAAGGGATACCATATAACAGAGGATGTCATGCACTTAGAATTTGTTGACTCTATAAGAGGAGAGAGGAAAAATTATATATGTATACATATGGTTAATATATAATACAATTTCAAGTAGTGGTAAGAGCTGGAATAGATTGGGATGAGTGAAGAAG